TTGAACCCTTTTGTATAATAGTATGTATTATCATAAAATTATCTTTTTAATTCTGCTGTACATTATAGTTTTATCTTGAATTAAACCATATTTTTCTTTTTCTCCTTTTTAGCATCATAGACAAAGAAGTGTCATTAATGGCAGAAATTGATAAAGTTAAAGAAGAAGCCAGTAAGTATAAAACAGAATGGGGAGCTTGTGTGTTTTGGAACAGTTGAGATAATGGGTTGTTTTTATTTCTGCAGAAAAATGATATAGTACCTCATTTACTCAAATAAAGACAACATTGATTATAAGATGACCCCCCCCAGTAATTAGATTGTATATATGAAAAATTTATAAATTTGTTATATAGTTTTCCAGGTATAGAATCTAATTACTGTGTTGGAGGTTTGCCTTGAATTTTCCCCCTCCTACTGCTACAGGAGGGGAAATAAATGTGGGGAGTCGGGTAGCCCCCTTTGCTCTCTGCTTCCCCTCAGCAGCCACTTCTTACATCAGACTCTGCTCTTTATGAGCACACAGAAATGAGAAGCAATTTTAAAAGCAATGACCTTGAAATTAAACATGCCTGTAGCAATTTGCATATAGAACCCATACACTTAGTTCATTAGAATTGTTGTGTGCTACTTTTTTTTTTTTAACTGGTGCAGGTTGCAGAACAGGTACTCCATAAACACACTTTTAGGCAGCATTTTGGTACCTACTTATATATACTACAACTGGACATGTCTACACAAGACGTTCACTTTGGAGCTGACTAATTAGCTATGCAGTAAAACATCACCATCTACACATGCAGTAAACTAACTCCGCCACACAATAGTACTGCCAGACACAAGTACTATCCTACAGTGGAAGTACTATCCTACAACGGATTTATTTACCCTACCACGATGTACGTGTAGATGCTGATGGGGCTGGCTGGAGCACGAGGGTGCTACAATGTGGGGGCAGTGAACTCCAGCATGAACTGCACCAGCATTGATTACATCACATTAATTGTACGTATAGATGTGCTCACTGTGCATGAAATTAGTCCAAAGCCAAAGACTTGGAATTTACCATATAGTTTATTGGACTGGGCCCTAGCAGAATCAACAGCATTTCAAGCCATGGTGACCCCACAGTTCAGAACTGCTTAGTTTTTGTGTTTAGTGCAGATACCCCCCACAAAAGGTCCATGGGCTAACTGGCTCCCACTCATGACTAGAACCATATATTTAATTCAGATGGGCTACAGTAACCTAGCTTTGTGGTAGGTTCCCATCACCATGCTGCCCAACATGGAACCATAGTCCTGCTTAGTGTTGGCTGCATTTAATCAACTTCATAGCTGGATTCCATTGGTGAGCACAGCAAAGCGAGCGGTGACCCCCAGCAGAGGGTGGCAGCGGCCAATCTTAGGGGGGGCATATGCCCCCCATTCCCTCCGCTACCAGTTGCCTATGGAGTCACCACTGATGCCAATAGCTGGCTTGCAAGACTGGATTCTACACAGTGTAAACACATTGCATTGTGGAACAAGCAACTAACCAGCATCACACATAGGATTGTAGAGGAGAGAGAAATGTTGGATAAGCAAAGGCAAAAACATTTTTTTGAAGATTTTGATGGGATTTGTAAGGGCTCTGGGGAACAGACAGAATCTTAGTTTTTAAAATGTGGTTCTCTTCTGAAAAGCAATTATGAATATGGTGTCTTCTTATTCAACAGAACTGCCTCCTGTGCATATTCTGAAAAGTCTACAGATTTTGATGAGAAAAATATTTTTTGTTGCCTCTGTCTCTTAGTAGTATGCAGAGCCAACACATGTAAGATGGGGAGAGCTGGAATCTCCTTCAAGTACTTGCCTACATAAACACTCTCACTTCTGGGTGTGTCCCACACTCTGAGCTGCTATTTGACACGTTTTGCTTTACCAATATGCTTAATGGCTGTGTCTAGACAAGTGTGGCTGTGCAGTATGTGGCACCACATACCGCACATTCAGGTGTTTCCCACGCTGCTGCCTTGCAGCGTGGGGGGGAGGGGTTTGACCCCGGGAAATTCTGGGGTCAAAAAAAGCTGCACAGAGAAAAAGCGGGGCAGCACACATGGCTGCAGTGCGCACTGCCCAAAACCAGAGCCTGGCCTGCTAGAGCCATGCTCCAGCTGCTGACTGGCTCCAGCTGCAGGAGTGCCACAGTTGCAGCTTCCCTAGCCCCCAGGACTCCAGGTAAGGCTGCTGGGGCCAGCATAGTTGCTGGTCCCAGCCTTCCCTACCCCACCTGGGTAACCTGCTGTGGGGCAGAGGGTGCATAGCATGAGTGTTCCCCAGGGACAAAGTGTGTTGCTGCTTCTTGTCTCTGGGGAACCAAATATCCACACTTGTGTGGACGCAGTCAATGTGCCCTTAATGGAAGAGGCAACAAAAATATTTTTATCATCAAAATCTGTAGATGCATCTGCAGCTTCAGAATATCATCAAAATCGGTAGATGCATCTGGAGGTAGATCTGCATTTAGGAACCAGAACTGCTAAATAAAAAGACACTATATTCACAGTCACTTTTCAGAAGAAAACCATATTTTAAAAACTGAGATTCTGTCCTTTTTGCAGAGTCCTTCTCTTCCTTGTGCCCTCTAAAACATGGGGATAAAAGTGTGTACACCCTTGGTTTCTCTCAACTGCCTGGCTAGAGATCGAGCATTCTTTTCTTTCTGTTCCTTGTAGCTCCGACCCACCCTGGTCTACTTACCCCTCTCAGCATCTTCACTATCTTGGAAAAAGTTTTCTGAGAATTTTTTTACCCCTCTATTCTTTTTCTGTTTTCTTTGAACAGGTTAGACTGTAGCTCTTAAGCTCTGACTTGGCACCCTTTTCCCCTGCCCTCACCTTTGGTGGTGCCAAGCCACAAAGCACTGCCATGTTGTAGATGACAGTTCTAAAAATAACAATAATTATAAAACTAATATTTTTTTCAGTGGAACAGATACTTTTCCTACACTTAGATAATGGCTTTGCCCAAAACCCATCTTTTTTCAGGCTTCAGACTGTGTCCTTCATGCAGCAGCCTCATTCTTCCAATAGCCATACAAAATGTCTTTTTTGTTTAGGAAGAGAACATATCCCTGAAATTTGCTCTGTTTGCCATTTATCTGGAATGCACAAGGCAAAAGAACAAGTTTCAGTGATTTCTCCTGGTTAAATCCCTGGGTTTCATGTCAGACCCAAAATTGAAGAGTTTGGCTCAGTACTGTACTCCACCTAGCACCATGAAGGCCATCTTTGCACTCAATGCTGAAGGGACTAACAACACATACAGACTTGTTCAAAACCTAGAAGCAGCTTACAAAACAGAGACAGTGTAAGTTGCTCTCTTTGTTGCAGAATCCAGGTGTGATAATCCTTTACCTCCTAAGAGTTGTAGTGAAGGAAAGAAAAACATGGAGCCTTGGTCTGAAAGAGTGACAGCAGAAACCCACATAGACATGGGAACACAGACACCAACACTGCAGTCATCCCCAAGACTTGTTGGCATTGCAGAATTATAGCAAAGGCATAGAAGGGCCTGGAACCTGACATGTCAGCAAGTTGGGGTGTAAGACTCCAAAGAACTATGAGTTATGTTCTGCCTCCCTTTAGAAGCATGATTCTTCAGCTCTCCTGTAGGGGATATACCAGTGCTGATGGACTTACCAGCACCTGATCTACCTATATCGGTGATTCTCAAGTGGGGTTAGGAGTGCTGCAAGACACTTTCAAGGATGGGGTGCCAGCAGCACCCCCACCATAGCCAGGTGAAACTGCCCCACGTCCCTCTGCATTCAAGAGACACACGCAAGGCCAGACCAGGAAGGCATGGCTTCTTCACTACCTCTGGCAGAACCTCCTTGCCCCTTGGCAGTGATCAAGTCTGCCTCATAGAGCCACACTATCTTCTACAGCCAGATTACCTCTTATCTCTGCCATTGAGGTAAGAATACATGTAGAAAAAGAACAATAGCATTCCAAGCAGTTAACAAACCAGGTGCTGTGGGGCAGTGGCTACTAGTCTACCCTCCCATGCCAATATGGTCACTCAGCAGCCTTCAACTCAGAGAGACTATAATCAGTGTCCCCAGCTTATCCCAAGAGACATTTTGGATTCTGCCTGGATTGCCATGAGTGGTTGAGTACAAAGTCTGGAACACGAGATTCCCAAGATCCCTCTTCCTCTGGGGTGGCTGCAATCCAGTCTGTGTGCTATCCATCAGAGGACATAGTGGGTTTATAAGAGTTAATGAGGCCAGTTGCTTATGCTGTCAGACTCTCACTGGAGAGAGGTGTCAGAGCAGCTACTCTCCCTGGTGAACAAATTGAATTTTATTAGTAGATGTTTAGGATTGTGAATCCAAAAAGATGACAAAACCAGTAGGGAAATACAAATTGCCCGAGTGAGGGACTAACCTTAAAGAGATGGGGGTGAGGAGGGGAAGGCAACTAGGTTACAGAAAATATAGTGTTAGCCAACTAAGCCTGGGGGTGGAGGGAGGGGGGGTG